CTATGTCCACAAACTTTAATGTGATAATTTCACCGTTTTCCGATATTGTCATATGGTAGATAACCACTAGACTTGCCTTTGTAACTGTAGGGCAAATTGGTACTTTCACAACCTGAAACAATGCTTCCACAATGCCTTCAATTTCCATTAGCCTGTTAACTAAATCTTGATCTTCTGAAATCAGTTCTTTCAAGACTAGAACTGCATGTTTTCTTGAAGAAAGGTCATCCCCTTTCAAAAACAATGAAATACAGCGAAGAGAAATTGCTGATCCCAGCTTAGATTTGCCTTTTTCGCCTAGTGGGAATGTCCATGTGAGTGCAGACAAAATTTCCTTCAATAAGTCAGTGAATTCTTCTGTTGAAAAACTCGCGAAAAGCTCGAAACAAGCTGCTAATGAACAACCAGCTCCATTCTGCACGATACAACGCTTGTTACGTTCACTTTCTTTGGCCAAATTCTTCATCTTTCTAAGCAAATCTAGGCACTTTTTTGCATCTCGATGCTGCGTTGCAGCCTCTATTGTTGAGCAAATCTCTGAAACATCGTATGGGGTAATCGGAATTCGAGGAGTTGGTATTCTTTCAATGCCATAAGATTTGTTCTCCACACACCAATCTTGAATCATCTTCCTTATGGCATGATTCGGGATTTGATCAAAGCTCCTTAGCACTTGATTGGTCACCGGGCACGTTATGTTCCCGGCATCAATCCACTTCTCGATACTTTCTCGATCATACGTTATCCCAGTAGACAATGTAACTGGATCTTTCATTAGATCGAGCGAAATTGGGCAGCGAAAATGAGTCGGAATGGAGAGTTCCATATCCGGAAACTCATCCTTTCGGGCACGGGCACGGGCACGGGCACGGCCGGCTCTCCTCCTCCTCCACGAGAAAATCATACTCATAATATCTCTAAATATGAAACCTTTTTCGAATTGAATCGAATCGAATCGCTATTCAAAGAGAAAGATACCAAATAACTAATAATCTTGTGTAATTTGTATAGATATGTAGTTGCAAAAAGTGTAGAACTTGAAGGGATTTTGGGATATAGAATGTTTGTTCATGTGATAACAGTGATATATATGAGGAGGGGATATGGGATTTTGGAGGGTCAAAAGCAGACAGACGTAGGAAACATAGGAAACGTTCAAAATCCTAGGCAAGGAAATTAGGAAAGTTATACGTTGTAGTA